GCTTGGAGTGGCTCGGCCAGAATAGGTGCTTGGAGTGGCTCAGTTAGTATTCAACAAATTTCTTTTTCTTTTTCTTTTTCTTTTTTTCCTTTTTCTTTCCCTGGTACGAGCAGGCCTAGAAAGAAGTTCGCCGGTAGCAGAGGGACCGAGTATCGTTTGAGTGGCCAGTCGCTGTGGCTCCCTGAGTACCCCTCCCCCTATGAACATCAGCAGAGACTGCTTTTTAATGCCAATTGGGGGGACCAACGGGCTATCTCTAGGTGGCGGGCGCCAAGCATGCCCAGGAAGGTACATGAGGCCTATGGGGATTGAGCCCAAGACCTCCTGAATGCCACTTTTTTTTTAAAAAAAGGCGATGGCCTTGAGGTATTATCATCGGACTAACCAACCTAGGTAAATTCAATCTTGTGTCCAATCTGACAACGGTGGCCTTTTCAGCCCAGGGTGGCCTGATAGCCTTAGGGTGGCCTGATAGCCTTCAGGGATCCCCCACTGGGGGCCCCCCAGTGCTACTGGAACGGGCCGCAGTAGCACGTGGTAGGGCCAAGCCCTAAAAAGTTGCATTCACCAGATGAATCTCCTCTGGAATATGGCGAGATACAGCACCACATGGAACACAGCGATAGGGGAACTCTCTCCTCGTTGCCACGAGAATCAGGGGAAAAGAATCTAACAACTAAAGAAGAAAAAAAAAAAAAAGGAAAGAAAAAAGAAAGAATACACCTAAAATAGTTACAGGCTGCCCGTAGAAACGGGCGCCTGTCACGAACTTTGGGAGTTGCAGCTTCCAGCTTCTCAAGTAAGGGCCACGTGGCGCCGCTTTTTTTTTTTCCCCCTTTTTAATCTCCCTTTTAGGAACCTTTCTCGATTTATGCCTGTCATCTTTGTGCTGGGGCCGTGCTCATTTCTGTGCAGCCATTTTTGGCTGCACGATTTGACAATCCTACAGTCGCGGCGCTGGCCTGCTTTTCTTTTTTTTCCTAAGGCTTGAGGCCTCCACCGAGATGTCTAGGTACAACCAGGCTGGCCCATGACCGAGATGTCTACGCCACGGTATGGTTGGGCCACGACCAAGATGTCTAGACTACGGACGGGGTGGGTCATGACCGAGATGTCTAGATCATGCGTAAAAAAAAAAAAAAAAAAGCTGTCGAAAATGACAAAAGTGCACGTTTCAATTAGGCCTGGGGCTAGGTCCCACTTGCACGAATTAAGAGATACTGACCGAAGATAGCAAAGATCAACGGCCGCAATCTCCTAATTTGCGCAAGTGGGACCTTGCCCCTGATGTCTGAAACGGCGGCTGATGTTACGCACTGCGGCGGGGATGGACCTGCCCACAGGTGTTTTTTTTGCCTATTGGAAACGTGGGTTGTGACCC